ATGAGCTTCAAGAGGTAGTCACCTGAAATGGTTTCCACTTCACAGGTGTGCCTTATCAGGGTTAATTAGTGGAATTTCTTGCTTTATCAATGGGGTTGGGACCATCAGTTGTGTTGTGCAGAAGTCAGGTTAATACACAGCCGACAGCCCTATTGGACAACTGTTAAAATTGAGCACACTAGAGCGCAGCTCGGGCCGCAGTCCGAGATAATTGTAAAAAAAATTGCAAAATGATAACAGTTTATTTTGGCTGGTAATGTGAAGCTGTAAATGTAATAATATTACCCAAAATCCTGTTGGTAACGTGTTATATTACTTTTTTACTGTGAGAACACAATATATAACTCGAATGCATTACTTTGGCAACACATTACCATTACATTATGTTGTGACATAAAATTACTTATATCATGGCAGAACATTGTATCCATATCATCGGCTAAACAAACAGGTTTTGAGAACATTGTCTACGGCATATTATTAGCAAATAAATACAGAACTGACATGAAGAACAGTGTCAAGCATCAGTATGGATGAGGTTTGTCCCATAACTTGTTCTAACCATAGACTGTCAGTACATCTCAATGACTTACTTGGACATTTTTTGCCATGGATAACATTCATCACTACAATACTTTTCATAGTCATTTTCATTTCAATAGAGACTGTCTCTGTGGCCCTTCTCAAAGTTGACTGTTCTGAAAACAGTGAGCGGGCAGCTACAGTGAAATCTTCATTAGTTTCTTAGCTACATAGTAATGTCCTTTTACACACTTTTTTGACTTTGCAAGAATAGAAGTATCTCAACAGGGGAAAAGGAAAACTATTTTCACTTCTCTATATGTCAGCTAATCCCATTAAAGACCAAAAACAACAATGCAATACTTTCCACCCTCCATACCCCATGTGTACCACTCAGCCCCAAGCCCATTCATTCCTAGTGAAGCAATACAGCTCACAGATTTTTCATTTAAAAGAAAAAGAAAAGATCAAATATTTTCTTGAAACAGCTGCACTAAGTTTTTAGCAAACATTACTCAAATACACATAGACAGTGCATTTGTTATGGACTGTGGTTGTTATTTGGCTTCAAATAAACTACAGTTCCCTTGTTCATCATAATAAGGATATCATGGATTTCATGAGATTTGTTGACAGTAAGACTCAGAGAGACAGAAAGTTAGAGGGAGTGTAGGAATAAGCACAGCATGTTCATTGCTCAGACCTCTGACTCTTAGGAATAGAAATGTAGCTACAAGTTTGTGTAGGGTATGAGGTCAACGGTCCTTTTATCGGTTTGGTATAGTGTATGCATGAACAGAAATGAATAACCATAAATCAATCTCTGTCCCATGCAGGCCACAGCCGTACCGCTCCCTGAAGGAGGTTGATTTGATAGAGGGGGACGGTCCTGGTTTTGGTGCAGAAAGTCACACTGCCCCTCCCAGCCCAGTTAATGAGAAGTTCTCCAATATCAACCTGCTGGGGGACATCTTTGGCTGCCAGGACGAGCCTGACAGCCAACCAGTGACATTGGCTAAAAGTCTCGAGGACCTGAGGACTCCAAAAAGCTCAGAGGAGCCCCAAGCCAAGTTCACCTACCAGGTTAGAGGTCTAAATGCTCTGCAGCCAGAGGTTGTCTAATACTGTCATTATAGTGATGTTTTCAAAAAGACAACATTTGGTCCAGAGGTTTACAGTGACTGAATACACTTTGTTCTGACCAGAGCAAAACACCATATCACTGATTCCAGAGAATTGTTGGTGACCAAATCTTCATCTTACGCCACTGTTAAATTTTCCTCCATCAAGTATTTGGTCATTTTGTTGTGTTGCACATGCTCTTGAGATCTTAATGTATTCTGGACTCATTGCCCATTTTCTTTATCTCCTGCATTTGTACCATTACTCTTGGCAGTGGTTTTGCATATTAAAATCTGCTTCAACATTCCATCATTGCTAAGTGAGAGTGAAATGGCCAGGTAGTACCCCCACCTTAACATTCACTTTTCAGTTTTTAAAGGGTGATTGTCGTCTCATCGAAGCTCCTCATCATGGTAATCACTGTCTGACATTTTCTTGTGAAAGTCTCACTACTCCTTTACTTTGTGTTTACTAACTAGTATGTGGGTCTTCCAACCCTGATAATCCAATGATAGTGAACATAGTTAGCACATAAACAAATAATTCCTCTATGTCTGTCGTCTACCATGAAGTCAGATGAATAATTTTCATAAACCCTTAAGGACAACTGTGTCAAATTGATATCTTACAACATTCATGTCTGATGTTTATGTTTATTTCCTGTTGAGTTTATGAATGCTGTGCTACGTGGCAGCTGAATTCTGAAGTTCTTTCGTCAAATTTACAGATCACTCAACAACTTTTAACACAAACACTAAAGTCAGGTAACTTTATACAACAGTTAGCCCCGCCCAAGCATTTTGATTGGACAGGAGGCATTCCGCAAGTTCTGATATACAGTATAACAGCACTGGGACTTCTAACTCTACATGTATCACTCCACTTTACAGGTGTTCTGAGCTGTTAATTATGTTAATCGTTAATAACTCCACATCAAGGGTCGTTGTAACAAACTTTGCATTGCAAAATGAAACATATTATGACAATCAACATTTGAGTTAAATAATGAATGGTCAGAAAAGGACAAAGGAACGGAGAGAAGCCTGAATACTTCACTGTAAATCTCCATGTATGATCATATGACACCAGAAGATGACACAACGTACTGATAGGGCTGTTAATTTGTTGGCATCACACGTATTCCACCAAAGCAACTGTCAACAGACTGATTTCACTGATCGCAAAATAAATTGAGACAGTCAGATGTAGCCTACATGATATATATTGCATCTGGTCTGTGGTAATGTGTAGACGAAGCTTACACAAAACAACAAGCTAGTGTGCAGGACTGTTTTGTGTGTTGCTTGCCGAACTATTTGTGTGGGTTAGGGTAATCATAAGTGCTATATCGTAGGCAACTGGACTTGCGTTTCTTGAAGACGTTTCAAGCTTCTTGGATGAGAAGCGAAACTTCCTCAAAAAACATAAGCAAGTCCAGTTGCCTACGATACAGAACTTTGGATAGCCAAATAAATCATGAAATAAACAAACAAATCATAACCTGTTGCCCCTTTGTTGTTTAACACTGATGCATTAGCTATGTTGATCCTGTGGGTTGATCCTGATATTATACTGAAATGAACTAAAACCAGTGGGCCCCTGAAATATAGGAAAAGCCCATGAATTAGAAAAATGTTATCAGTAATAAAAGTTTATTACTATTATCATTATTATTATCATTATTATTATTATTATTAAGTGTATTATTCTCTTATTTATATAAGCTCATAGGATTTACTGGGCTGATTTGGAAAAACCTCTGGTGTGGTCTTTTCTGAAATTTTCTTCTTTTTGCAGCGGATGGACCTGAATGTGGGTGAACACTCACGAACACTTCCAGGCCTCAAGCTCTCCAACCCTTACAACAAGCTGTGGAGTACAGGGCAACACGAAACAGCCTTGCCCATTTGTGTGACTACTCCTGTCCAACATCCTGTGCTGATGGAAGCCCACTCTCCGAGCCGTGAAAGCTCTGGCCCAGGCCCCGACTCTTTGGACCCTTCCACCCTCCCGGTAATCACAATCCCACGTCCCCATGGAAGGAAGACGCCTGAGCTTGGTACTGTGCTAGCACCCCCCACAGCCCAGCTGCGCTCTAAACCAGTAGGAGCTGGTGAGGGAGGGACTACATCAGGCAGACAAGAGTTTAGGCAAGCTTTAAGCATGACCATAGATAGAGACCTGCTGAAGCCCACCAAGGCTGCTGAGGACAATATAGATCTGATTAGCCTTCTGGACCCCCTTAACAGCTCAGTACCCACCAGCTCCACTTCATTCAGTGACGGCATTGATATTGGTGTGTCTTCATCTTCTTGCAAACCAACACTACCGCCCAGGTCTTACCCACAGGGCTTGCCTCCTTTCCCACTGCATCCCCAAATATCACTCAACCCTTTTGCCCAGTCTCTTCAGCACACCTCCCCCCAAATGCGTTACTCACCAACTGTGAGTGGGAATCCTTTCAGTGCAGTCTACGGGCCTCCACCAGGCCCCTTTTTACACACTCCAGCCCGACCGCAATCCTTTTCTACGCTACCAGGGCTCTACAGACAGCATTCCCCAGGCAGTTCAACTCTGCCACCCAGCTATGGACTGCTCCAGTCAGCCTTCCCCTCCTCAGTCGTCCCCCTGCCTCACTCCTCTGCCAGCAATCTCGCTCTTAGCAGTCTGGCAGACTCCACATCTGTCCCCAGTACAGCCATGAACATCCTGGCAAAGCCACTTTGTGCTGAGGGAGACAGCCAGAAGACTCAGGATCCTTTTGGGGATCTGCTAAATATGGCCAAGCCAGCTACTCCCCAGAAAAAGAAGGTGGAGGACCTTCGGAGGAGGTGGGAAACATTTGACTAAAACCTGTGAATATGTACTGAGGTGCCCCTCTCTGTCACTACCCAAATGTCCCTCACTGCTGTATCAGGACCTTCTATTGCATTGAATACTACATTAACAATAATACACGCTACTCTGCTTATGCAACTCACAATTGCAGAAAAATTCTTCATCGTAAACTGAGGAAGTAAACATTTGCTGATTAGGCTTGGGTTATTTCCCATGCAGGGTAATATTAAGTGTACTTTGTGGACTTGATTAAAGCAATGTGACATAGGGCTGTCACCTGCAGTCGGTTGGTCGATATGCTCTTGTCCGACCAAATTCTCCTTGGTCAGATTGTTGCTGGTGTTACTTTAATAAGGCCATGCGTCCACCAACACGTTTCTTTTCGCAGGTTATAACAGCAGTTGTTGTTGTTCAGCACTTGTATCCTCTGTGACAGTTGGTTTTTGTGGTCTTTACCCTGCCCCCTCTCCACTGTGATTGGACAGCTGGTGAAATTAAAGAGTGCAGTGTTTTACCCCAAGTTTAACTTGTTTCATCTCTCATTTTTAATTAGAAGATGGGTATATAATCACAGAAGACATTCAGTGTTGGATTTATCATAATGGATGTATTTTATTAAGTCTCTAAAAGACACTGCAGTTCAAGGCTAGATTACAGAGCTTCTGAAAGGGATACGGTCACACCGGAGTCCTTATTTGAGCGGCACGATGGCTAATGTTAGCCTCTGAGCTAAAATAGTAAGTCTCTGTCTCGCATACATCATTACAAAGACACCTTGTATGTGACATTGTCAAACCCAGAGTTACTGTCTATATAGCAGTGATACTCAATTCACCACCCATAGTTCAAATCTGGCCCTGTTAAGGTGCCAGGAGCCCCTCCAGTCATTTTCTAATTCTCAGTGAAAATAAATGGAATCACATTAGGAATTTCTTTTTGTACTTTTAATGGAAGTAATAGAGATGCACTGGTTGGTCACCAGAATCTGCCGATTTTCAGTTTGATCGACTGATTTTTCAGTTTGTAATTAATGTGATGTAATAAGTGCAGCATAGAAAAGCTAATGCCAACTGCTTCATGTAAGTGAAATGAAAATTCTAAAATGATAAGCACAGTACTCCAGGTGGTATAGTTAAATAAAAACACAGAGTTGGGTGGTCTAACCTAGTTTGCTAGTTAGTCTGCTAATTAACTGATCAGTCCAGATAATGAGCAGACTAATGTTACTAGGGTAGTAGATAATAAGCTCAAATGATTAAAAGCTAATGATAACTGTTTTATGTAAGTGAAAATGTTAAAACAATTAGCCTTATATACCAGGAGGTATAGTTCAGTACAGTTCTTATGATAGATTTGGTAGTTTATTCCATGGCACCAAAACATTGTAATTAAAAGGAAAGGAAATCTCTTATAAATGAGGTGCCAAAGTCAATTTAAAGAAAACAACAACAACAAAAAAACATCAAAATTGAGCTTGTTTATTTTAAAAAAAAAGTGCCAGGAGAAGATTCCCTGAACCCATTGACAGAGATACAGGCTAAGCCCCGGATGTCTTAAAATCATTAAAATACCCCTGTGCTCACCTGACACGTGCAGAGCTGCAGCAAATTGCCCCTGGCCTCCTGTCATTTTGCTAAAGTAGCCCCCTGGCAAAGCAAGATTTTTCTTTGTGACAGATTTTTCATCAGTCCTAATGTTTAGTGGTGAGGCGGACTTGCACTCACAGCTCACCTGGATGCTCCCAGTGATACAGTGTGCCATTTATTTTCAGATACTACAGTGGACATCACAGTTATTTTTCACTTATCGCGTTCCACTTGCCTGCACACAGTTTACTTGCCCTGGGCAAGTGTTGATGTCGAGTTCTGTGACAGGAAAAAAATGTTTTGGTGGAAACACTACGCTACTAGGTAGAGTGCACTCACTGCACTGCAGTGAGTTAGTTAACTTAGAGATAATGTGGAGATTTGTTTTCCCCATCCAACCAATGGATTGGTTGAAGAGTAGGTGAATTTCAGTTGACCAAAACTTTCTTTGATTGGTTATAGTGACATAATGACTTGTGACATAGTGAATTTTGTCAGCCCACAGTTTGTTTGACTCTGCTGTTGGTCGCTCAAGGTATGTTTGCTGACCCCAATAGTTGATACAGGTGTCAAAGATCATAACTTGAAATTGGGAACTTTTCTTGCCAAAACATTAGTTTGTAAGTAGTACATTAATGTACAAAAGCTTTTTTTTTTTAATTGATGTTTTACTTTTGTTCTAGACTATAATGACATGACTTTCTTCTACTCTCATGTGTTGCACATATGGAGTACAGTTGAACAAGTGCATCAGAGATGATGTAGTGATGATTTAGTGGGACAGAAGGTCCTGACCCAGTATGTAGGAGTGGTCATGTGGTGACAACCTACACACACACACACACACACACACACACACACACACGCCTCCCCTCCCCACTATCATTAGCTCTGCTGCTGACCAATGACAAACAAGAGTGTGTGTGTGGTGAACAAATGGGCAGTGTGGATTGTTTCATCAGCCATCACTTGACTTTCCCACCAGTCTACCCAGGAAATCCCGCTCAAAGCCGGCCTTGCTTCAAGATGTTCAGATGCCAACAGTTCTCAGCCCATCACCACTCATTAAAAAATGCTTACAAAATTCTTCGCACAGCAGCCTCTTGTGTCATCCATCTCTAATGAGACCACATTAGCGTAGTGCTCAGTATAGATCAGTATAGGTTTGTGACTTTAAAAATAGCACACAGTGTTTCCTGACTGACTCACAACAGCATATGTCTCAGTGATGTCAACTTGTAAGATTAGCTAGTAGCTAGTCTGCTATAGTTAAGGAACATCCTAATGGCATAATGGTACTGTAGCTACAAAGTGTGGTGCATCTCAATCATGCAGTTAATTTACCTGTTTATGTTTCTGATTGTTTAATGCACAGTGTGTTTGTTTAGTTCTTTTGGCCTTAGTGATGAATCTCTTTGTTGTCTTCTCTCACTGACCTATGAAAAAATGTTGCCTCCTACTGTTTTTTAAAAACAAACTTTTTAAGAAAACATGCAAGCCTACAATAGCCAGTCATTCCCCTAAATGATTTGAAACATTTCTGCCTGATTATATATATGGGGACTCCGAAACACTTTATTTCTGTTATTTTAAAGGTTCCTTTTGCCGACTCTGCTGCTCATTAAGCTCTCTAATCGTTTCCTTCTGTTGGTTTTTGCCTTAGTCAAGAATTTATTTGTGTTTGATGATAAATACTGACCTACTGAGTTACAGGCTGCTTACACATTGTGATGACAAGTGTACGGAGAGAACAAAGATAATGGTTCTCACTATTTTGCCACCAGTTTCTATTTCAGCTGTTCCATCTTCTCCAGTAACAGAAATTGTGTGTGTCACACCCTGTCAGCCTTTACTGCTTTCCAGGTGATTTGGGGGCATTTGTGTGTGGTGAATGCCAAAAAGTCCTTTTTGCTTTATATTCCTATGACATTTAATATGGAAATGTGTGGACCCTGCCGAGTGATTCCTGATTATTTTAACTTGTAAACCTCATTTCTTCTTCTGGCATAACCATCAGAAATTTCCACTTGCTCAACACCTTATATCCTTAATATTTTGGTGACTTTGACCTTTTCTTTAGCACCTCCATCACACCAGAATGTCCACTTGTACAAAATAAATATTAAAATCATTATCAAATATCATAATCCACAGCACTGGGCTCCTTTTTGTCTGGCTTTCTTTGGCAAATGTACTAACTAACTAACTCCCCTGTTAGCTGGGAGATATTGTCAAACTAAGCTAACGCTGACATGCTTGCTGAGGATGGCAGTGGGTTTTGGCTGAAGGACAATTAGAGCTCATTTTCACTTAGTTTTAATGCCAGCATGCAGAAGGCTGAAACAGGAAGTCCACTGGAGTCACCTGCTTTAAGGCGGCTGCCACATCATCCATCCATCCATTTTCATGCGCTTATCTAGGGCCTGGTCATGGAATCAGCAGGCTGAGCAAAGTACTCTGGACGCCCCTCTCCCCAGCAATGCTTTCCAGCTCTTCGTGGGGGATCTCAAGGCGTTCCCAGGCTAGATGATACATATAATCCCTCCAGCGTGTTCTGGGTCTACCCCACGGCCTCCTACCAGTTGGACATGCCCTGAAAACCTCTAACAGGAGCTGTCCAGGAGGATCCTAATCGGATGCCTGAACCACCTCAACTGGCCCCTTTTGATGTGAAGGAGCAGTGGCTCTACTCTGAGCTCCCTCCAGATGTCTGAGCTCCTCACCCTATTTCCAATGGTGAGCCCATCCACCCTGCAGAGAAAGCTAATTTTGGCCACTTTTATCTGTATTCTCATTCTTTTGGCCACTACCCAAAGCTCATGACCATACAATACATAGATTGACCAGTAAATCAAAAGCTTTGCCTTATGGCTCAGCTCCCTCTTAATCATGACAGTCCAGCGCAGTGCCCACATCACAACAGAGGCTGTGCCAAACTGCCAATACGTCTCACGCTCCGTTTTTACCATGGACCATGGCCCAGAGGTAGAGCGGGTCATCTACAAATCAGAAGGTCAGCGGTTTGACCCCCGGCTCCTGCAATCTGCATGTTGAAGTATCCTTGGGCAAGATACTGAACCCCTAATTGCTCCGGAAGACTAGAAAGGCACAATACAAGTGCAATCCATTTACCATATTACAAGACCCCGAACTCCTTTGCCAGAGGGGGCAATCCACCATTTCCAGCAGAGAACCTTGGCCTCAGACTTGGGGGTGTTGACTCTCATCCCAGCCACTTCACACTCGGCAGCAAACGGCATTAATTCAAAGGAAAATGTGAGAAGTGTGTCTCTGTTGCTGGATTCTGACCCTCAGTCAGTTGCTGTGTGGAAGTTGTGTAGGAGCCCAGGTGACTTAAAGGGACAGTTCAGATTTGTTGAAGTAGGGTTCTATAGATAAATGGACCTGCGCTAGTCATCCAACCACTCACAGCGCTTACACTACGAGCACACCCCCTGTTTAGCTTAGCATGATGAGATAAAGCAGAAGGAAATTGTTTCCCTGTGTCAAAAGTGTAATTATAGACCTATCAGCATTTCTTGCTTAAACTCAGCAGTCTTGTTTTACCAGCACCAACTACTCACAAAACTGATTCTGGGCAATGGATATACAAAATGTTGCATGCTAGAATGACCCTACTAACATCCAGTAGGGGTTAATAAAGATATGTTATTGTACACCTGACAAAGTTACAGCTATCTCTGTTTTTAGAAAGATTAAACTGTGGTGGAGAGAAAGGCGTAGAACAGAAAACAATGTGGGTGACACACCTGATAAGATACATACAGACGATGTTCTGCTGTTCTTAACTAAACCTCAACTTAGGCTTCCTGTTATTCTAGACCTAATAAACTTGTTTTGAGCTTTTTCTGGGTACATGATTAAATGGTCTTAAAGTGAGTTGGTGTCTTTTGAGTTGGAAGGTATCCCTGATACAACATTTACAATTTAAAATTTCTTCTCACACTTCCACCTACCTTAGGATTCCAATCACTAAAAAAATTTACTCTTTTTTTTAAAGCTTTCTCCCTCTTGTAGCCAAATTGCAGGCTAACATTTAGTGTTTGAGATCACTTGCTATTTCACTAATTGGGAGGACTAAAGCCTACATTGTGTGACATGGATCTAATAAACTTGGGTACGACATAATGTTTGATTTATGTAGACTGTATGATCATAAAGCCTACTGACGCGTAGGCTATAACGTAAGTCCACTGTCATCAATACGCAAGAACAAAATGTCATTAGCATGCATCATCCATTGAGGTAGTGGTTGGAGAAAAATAAAAACAAACATGAATTGAGCACCTGCTCTAGTGTCATTTATGTGTGTCGCAAAAGTCAGAAGAAGAGGAAGAGGAGAATGTGAGCACATTCGTGGCCAAGAAGAAATGCCAACTTGGCCCGCCAATTTTACAATGAGAGCTCAAAGTGTATTTACTAGCATCTACCAGCATTTAGCATTGCCATGACCAAAGATATCGCCACCATTCTTTCATGTTGGTCACCTTTCGTCCAGGACAGCCCGAAAAAAATCACACAGTGTATACCAGGCTTAAAACAATTAAAATGATATTCCTACCCCAGCTGTTTTTCCGATGCCTCCCTGTGTTCTTTCCCAAATCCTTTTTCAAACATTTAAATTCTGTTATCGTTCCCTTCATCTGGAATTATAAGTCATAGAACTAAAAAGATCATTTTCGTGAACCAAAACGAGCTCAGGGCTTGCTCTCTCTAACTTTTTCTTTACTGTTGGGCTTCCAATGTCAAAATACTTTCAATTTTTTGAAATTCCTCACTGGCTGCAGCTGAAGTGGGGAACAATGCTGCCCACACAGTTTGGGTGGAGTGATCCTGTCTCCAGTAGCTGTGGATACATTTGTTTATAGTGGACACAGCATTATACATAGAATCTGGAGGCAAATTAAGATACATTTTGGGATTAGTTCAACTGACATGATGACTCACTCCACATTATACAGGTAGTAGTCCCATTTTGGAAGATGTTTGTAACTGACAGAATGATGTACTACACATTTATACAGATAGTAGTCCATTCTGATAGATAATTGTACCTGACAGGATGACCGACTCCACATTTATACAGGTATTTGTCCATTTTGATAAATATATATATATATCTGTCAAGATGAAGTCATCCACATCTATTCAGGTAGTAGCCCATTTTGATATGTGTACCTAAAAGGATGACAGACTCCCCATTTATAAAGGTAGCAGGCCATTTATACAGCTAGTAGTTCACTGTTAGTCCGTTGTGATAGACATATATATGTGACGGGATGACCCACTCCACATTTATACAGGTATTTGTCCATTCTGACAGATATTTGTACCTCACAAGATGACCTGCTCCACATTGATATGGCTTGTAGTCCAGTTTGATCGATATTTGTACCTGACAGGATTACACTGCTCCACATTGATACAGGTAGTATTCCATCCAGTAGTCCATTATGATGGAAATATTAACCTGACAGTATTACACTACTCCACATTTGTAGGTAGTAGTCCAATTGGATAGACATCTGTTCCTGACAGAATGTCATAATCCACATTTATACAGGTATTCGTCCATTCTGACAGATTCTTGTACCTTACAGGATAATGTTCTCCACATTAATAAAGGTAGTAGTCTATTCTGATAAACAGGGTGTCCTGCTCCATATTGATACAGGTTGTAGTTCATTCTGATAAATATTTGTTCCTGACAGGATGACCCACTATACATTGATGCACATCATAGTCCATGCTGATAGATGTTTATAGCTGACAGGACGACCTTCTCCACATTTATGTAGGTAGTAGTCCGTTTTGATAAATATTTGTATTTTACATGACCTACTTCCACATCGATAAAGGTATTAGTCCATTTCGAAAGATATTTGTACCTGGCAAGATGACCTACTCCACATTTAAATAGGTCGTTGTCCATTCTGAGTTCTTTGTGATAGTTTTATGGACCTGACATGACGATCAAATCCACATTTATACATATGAGGCCACTCTGATATTTTTACTTGACAGGATTACCTACTGCACACCTATACAGGTAGTAGTCCATTCTGATAGATAAATGTACCTGACAGGAGGGTCAACTCCACATTTATACAAGTAGTATTCAATTCTCATAGATGTTTGTGACAGACAGGATGTCCTACTCCATATTGATATAGGTTGTTGTCCATTCTGATAGATATCTGTGACTCAGAGGATGACCTACTCCACATTGATGCAGATTGTAGTCCTTCATGGTAGATATTCGTATCTGAGAGGATGACCCTCTCCACATTTATATAGGTAGTAGTCTATTCTGATAGATCTTTGTACCTGATACGATGACCTACCTGACAGGAATACACTACTCCACAACGATACAGGTAGTAGTCCATTTGGATAAATATTTCTTCCTGACAGGATGACTTGTTCTACATTAATACAGGTAGTAGTCCATTCTGAAAAATATTTGTATCTGACAGGAGGACCTACTGCAAACTTATACAGGTAATATTCCATTGTGATAGATATTTGTACCGGACAGGATGATCTACTTTACATTTATACATGTAATAGTCCATTCTGATAAATATATTCAACTGACAGAATGATGTACTCCACATTTATACAGGTAGTAGTACATTCTACAGGTTAGCAAACATTTCCCTGGAAGTGGTTGCTAACACCCTCTACCTCGGCACAGCCTTGGCCATCATGAAAGACTGTTCTCAGCCAGGATACCATCTGTTTGATTCACTGACCTCTGGAAGGTGCTACAGATTATTCAGAACCCGGACAAACACACTCAAACCTAGCTTTTTCCCCACAGCAATAAGGACCTTGATGAATTTAAATATACAGGATGAATCTTTTCTTAGTGCGCTTAATGTGCACTATTTATAATCAATCAACTACACTGTGCAATATACACATATATATATATATATATATATATATATATATTAGGGGTGTAACGGTACACAAAAATCTCGGTTCGGTACGTATCTTGGTACACAAGTCACGGTTCGGTTTTTT